TCTTTGACTGTCTTGTGCGTGAATATTTTCAGAACTTATGTAGCATGTCATTCCTTGAATTCTCCATTTTGCGATGGACAAAAGATGATTCATATCCTATGCTAAAGCTCCTTGTAATATGTTTTGTTAAAACCTCAATAGCAGGTGATTTGGGGGGGTTTTCCATTTATTTTTTTATTAACTTTTCCATGTCTTCAACTCCATTGTGAACACCCTAATTGATTCACTTGAACGATACTTTTGTTATCAAAATCGACATTGATAATCTGTGAAATTTTCGCATAATTCATCTTTTGTACACTATATTCATCTTACCGGTTTACTTTCCTATAAGTGATCACCAAATAAACAAAAAGTAGAAGTATCCTAAGACTTCAACACTTCTTTTGGAACTGTAAAACAAAATAAAATGCTTGTTTTTTGCCTGTAAAGAAATATATTTGTGTTGCTTGGTATCACTGTTGGGTTTGAACTATTGAAATGCTCGCAGTTAGCAACGTCTGAGCATGGTAAAGGTCCATAACCTGTCTTGAAGGCCAATCGCCAACCTATTTGTTGTATGCTTGGTAGCCTTGATATGAAATCTTAAAAGAGTCTTTGAGTTGGGATACTGGAAGATGTTCACCTCACTTTTCCCTTTCCCTCCTTTGCTATGATTGATTGGAAAGGGATATTTGTTTGTTTGTTTGCTTGTAATAGTTTTTTTTTTTTTTGTAGATCTCGATTTGCTTCAAAGCAAGAACAGTTCTTCCCACGCTGCACTCCAAGAAACTCAGGCCCTCAATCTCATGACTCTCCACCAAAACGAGGTACTATAACGGTTCCAGCCTCCTTGCCTATCAGAAACCTTTTCGTTCACTCTAGATTTAGTTAATATCCTCTAATATTTTAAGGGCCTTAGTGGTACTTGATGACAAATTTTCTGCTTTCTTTTTAGACACTGGTATTGCTAACGAGAAAGAGTGGGGCATCGATATGCTAAACGAGAATGTCAATGAATCTGGGACTAACGAAGATGGTAGTACTTGGTATCGAAAGAGTGGAGAAAACATTGGTGAAAATGGATACCGATGCCGATGGACCAAAATGGGTGGGAAGAGCCACGATGGTGCCTCAGAATGGAAAGAAATGGTACACATGTTATTAAGGTTGTATTGCTATGGATGTCAAAAGATTGTATTTAAGAAACATAGTCAAGCAGCATTCTATGTTTAGAACACACATGCATATTATTGAGTTTCCTCTCAAGCTGAAGTTTCTGCTGGTTATCACTTTTTAAGGAACTAACATGTAGTTGGAAAAAAGTTAGTGGTTTGCATCTAGGAATATCCGTTGTGGACTTTCCAGTTAGTCGTAGTTACAAGTTTGTAAGTCTGATCGATCAATATTTTGCTTATAAATTCTGTGCATACTATATAAGCCTGAGTTATTAAATATGCAACTAGATAAGCATACACTGGGAGGTTCTGGATCGTTGCTAATCTCAATATTAATTTGTTGGCATTTCTTTATAACCTTATCAAGTATCATCCCAGGTGGATGCATTTAATTGGATTTCTTGATCTCCTTGACAGTGGTGGGAAAAAAGTGACTGGACTGGTTACAAAGAATTAGGTAATACTAATTTTTGTCTTGCATTTATATGTTGTAACCATATTACTCATTGATCTGAGTATTGCTTTTAGTCAAGCAATGTCACTTGTACTTCTGGGATTCATAATTTATCACGTTTTTGTTTCTTTAATGATTGTAGGCGTCGAAAAATCCGGGAGAAATGCTGAAGGAGATTCATGGTTGGAAACATGGCAGGAAGTTCTTCATCAAGACGAATGGAGGTTGTGTATCCAACTTTTTGTGATATTATATGCTGTTGAATCCTCCTGGTTATGGTGTTTAATATCATTGTATTTAACACTTTGACAAAACCGTTACACATATATAACACTGCATTTTCTACTTCAGCAATTTAGCTAGGATAGAGAGGAGTGCGCAAAAACAAGCAAAATCGGGTACAGAGAATGCTGGGTGGTATGAGAATTGGTAAGACTTGTGAAATGGAAGATTCGTAATCATGTTGTCATGAACAATGAAATAATCTGCAAATATTTATTTTGATGCAGGTCAGAAAAGTATGATGCAAAGGGTTGGACAGAGAAAGGAGCCCACAAGTATGGTAGACTGAATGAACAGTCGTGGTGGGAAAAATGGGGAGAGGAATATGATGGAAGAGGATCTGTCCTTAAATGGTATGTTGTTTTTCCATTATCCAAAATAAAAAGGTACTTATTTAATTTGTTTTCTTAAAGACGAAAAGGAGTTGCTTCAAGTTGTCAGAAACGCTGGACTTGTTGGAAATTTTTAATAAGGAAGTTGGAATATTAAACGTTACTGATTTTCAACAAAAACCTTTACTTCATAAAAATAAATATTTGAATGAGAAGCTATGATATATGCCTTCACTAATAGTATAATTGAGGTCGATAATTTGCTTTATAAGATAATAGAGTGGTTAACTGCTTATGTATGACCTATTTGTGGTTAACAAAACGATTCACCTCCGCATTTTGTTGCTTATAGAATCATATACTCTCTTTCTCAGGACTGATAAGTGGGCAGAAAGTGAATTGGGAACAAAATGGGGAGACAAATGGGAGGAGAAATTTGTCGCTGGCATTGGTTCACGGCAAGGGGAGACTTGGCATGCATCACTCAGCAGCGAAAGTAGGCCCTTTCTTGTTTTTTCCATTGTTGTCAACAGTTGCATAGTATATTTTATGCATGCTAACCTTTTATGAAATGTTTCACACATTTTAATTCCTACAATAAATTCTTATTCAAGCTAGAACGGAATCCATCAAACATATATCTCTTGCTATATTCGTAAGATCTGAATTTATAATTTTAAAAGTAATACATTCAAGTTTAGGGACAAGTTAACTGTTCTTTTCTTGAACATTGATGTGATATTTATCCCGATTTATTTCGTTGTAATAATCCAGGATGGTCAAGGACATGGGGAGAGGAGCACTTTGGAAATGGGTAATTTTATGACTATACATTCAATGTTTCATCGCGTTCTATGATATTTTGCAAGTTGCATATTGATTTCCTCGCTAAGTTTTCCTCTTTGAAACCCAAATGATAATATAAAAAAGACTCATGGTATGCCCCTTTGTTCCTCAATCAGCAAGGTACACAAATATGGCAAGAGCACAACTGGTGAAAGCTGGGACATGGTTGTGGATGAAAAAACGTACTACGAGTAAGTGAATGTCATCTATGTTTGCATGTTTTCATTGGTAAACATCAAAGTAAAACGTCTTACTTATGATTGAAGGGCTGAGCCTCACTACGGGTGGGCAGATGTCGTAGGTGATTCAAGTCAATTATTCTCTATACAACCTCGAGAACAACCTCCTGGTGTGTATCCAAACATTGATTTTGGGTCATCTGTGCCTCCAGACGATGAGTCCCCTCCAACTAGATGATTTCTTCTCACCGATACTGGAGAGAGATAGTAAGTATGTTGGTATAGTCGTGATGTATGTGCAATTTGGCATGAACACCATCGTAAGTCTCCTCCAACATCTTCACAGTGACAACGCGTCATCTCATTCATCACGATTGATTCTCAAGATAGATAGCTAGCTTACATTTTTTTTTCAAAATTTAGTTGTAACCTTTTGCTAGTTGCTACAGTCAGTTTATTTCATTCTTTCAGCGTTGTGGTATTTGCATTTGTTTTGTATGTTTGACATGTTCTAGAGGTCCTTTTGGATCTCTCAAGTCAAAATTTTGACATTTTTTAGTTCAATGCTCAAGAATCTTGCATTATCGATTTCAATAATTCGATTTGAATAGTAAAACCTATATTCTTTAGATTTCTTTGGATAATGAATTAATCAGTTACTATTAAAATTTTACATCTAAGATTGCCTTTCTTACTTAAATAAAATATACCTATCTTAAATTCATTCATAAACACATTATTTGATGCTTTCTTCCTCTTATACTTGTTTATTTAGCTTTAAATATTTAATCACCAACTACTTCAACTTATAAGGTTGATCAAATTAACTATTTAGAATTTCGAAAGGAAAAAGGTGGATCTAAGATATAACCTAAATTTAACTTAACTGACTTTTAGATACTTATCATTGAAATCGTTTAAACTTTTAAAAGTACAAGGTTTGACTATTGATACAGTTCAAGACATCTATTTTTAAGTATTTTTTTTAAAGAATATATAACACTAATATATACTATTCAAAAAGAAAAACTTAGGTTTACGTAAACGCAGTGACTCCATTTCGATACACTCCTGATCAAATAACTCTTTTAAGTGTAAAAAAACAAGTGTGAGATGAAATATACGAAGAACTAACAATGCAACAAATATATCATAGTTTTTCTTTGAGTAAAAGATACTATATTGTTATTATTCCTTTAAATCTTCGATAGACAATTAAAAGTTCTCAATCAAATATATTTTTTAACATACAAATATATATGTTTGACTACAAAAAAAATAAAAAATAAATAACTTGCTCATTATGTTCACTATTTATGAAGTAATTGATTCACTTTACACAATAAGCTTTAACAAACTTATTTTCATGTAATATGTACTCATCTCATTATAAAATAAAAAAAATAACAAAATTTAATGATAAATGTTTATGCATTTGCATTCTTTTTCAACAAACTAGTTTAATCACTTTAATAAGTAAAAAATATTTCTCATTAAGATAAACTCATCATTAAATTTAATCACCCAAAAACAAAGAAAAAAAAAAGACCATTAATTCTAAGGGAAATTCTATTAACTAACAATTTGACAATTTTGACAAAAATCCAAAGAAATAAGACTTTATTCACAATTTGTTATCTATAGATTTATTACCTTTTCATACCATTTTTTCCTATATAGAGACTTCTTATGTTTTAAACTAAACCACACCACCATTTTCATTAGATCTTTTCACTTCATTTTTTTCGATATGTTTAACAGTGATAACAACCGCAGTATCATCAGAAAACGAAAGAGAACTAATCAAACTCCGATTCAGCTCTTTGTTCGTTCTTTATCAAAAACAGAAACAACCTTAGTTCTCCGAGGTTATTCTAATGACACCGTAGAAGTAACTAAAAATAAAATTCGAATGCTCACTGGTATCCCTGAAGATAACCAACGACTAATCTACAACGGAAGACACCTCTCTTGTGACAGAGAGACGTTGTCATTTTACAACGTTGAGAACGATACAACTATTCATTTGTTTGGTAAAATGCGAAGAAGCACATATACATGGAAAATCACGAATGAGATGATTTCAAGAATCGCCACGATCATGGGAAGTGATCATGTCTGCAGTGATTCGGATTTGAAGGATATGGAGATGTTAGTGAGACAGTTTAGTGAGAAAGGAGGATGTAACGATATAGATTTATTCATTTCCTCATCTGCTCCTGCAGACTTGGTGAAAATGTACGTGTCTCCGGATAATGCTAAGAGACACGTTGCTGATGAATCCATTCGTGGATTCATCAACTCATTGATGAGTAGTGATTTGCAAGTGAGGAGGTATAATGAGTGTGCGCGAATAATATTAGCATTCTGTAAGGAATTGAGAAGCGAAGTCGGGCTTGAGGATCTCTTGTACAGCTTCTGCCGGAGTAGTACAAGGGAAATAGTAGCGGGCGTTGGGATTGGAAGGTGCAAGGAGAATATTGCTGATGAAGTGTTAGTACTGAAGGATGTTTTCATGTTTGTTCGCGAGGTTGTGGTAGCTGATTTATCGCGTGAGCTAGAATTGAGTATGATACCAATTCAGTTTGCGGGGATATCACTGATGAGCATAGTGCACGATTTTTTAGACTACATGCGCTTGGTGAGGGCATTGATGCAACAGCCTTTCGACAGTCAAAGCGATGAGGCAGTGTATGAGACAGAGTATATGCAGAGCATGCATCATATTTTATCCGAGTTACATGTCGTTTTATATGATTTGCTGGATAAAATAGAGCGGTGCTTAAGGACATTGGAAGATCAGAGGCTTAACGTACTGTGGCTGTCTCAGTATCTTGTTATACTGAAAGAGTTGAGCAACATTTCTAAGTTTTTTAACAGCTCGGAGATCTTTTGGCAGAAGTTGAGTAAACGAAAAGTTTCATTGTGCTATCTAATCGAGATGTTTGCAAAGAGCTCTGAAGATTATCGGTGGATCATTGAGCACAAGGAGGTAACAAATTTCAAAGTACGGAGAAATTTCACAATGATGATGCTTGAAGAAGCTAGAGATGGATACAAGGAGGAGGCGTATGGGATGATTATCGATAGGTCCATGTTGTTGGATGAATCTTTCGAGTACATTGTAGATGAGGATCCTGCATTGCTGCGAGGCGATCTGTTGTTGCAATTCAAACATGAAGAAGCTGTTGGGCCCGGAGTGTTGAGAGAGTGGTTCTTCCTGGTGTGTCGAGAGATGTTCAATCCTCACAGAGCGCTCTTCGTTGCTTGTCCCAATGATCGGAGAAGGTTTTTCCCAAATTCAGGTAAAAATTATCGCCTTTATGCACAAATTTTTGTTTAAAAAGTAGTAGCGTTAGTCATAAATATATATTTGTGTTGCAGCATCTAAGGTGGATCCTATGCACCTCGAGTATTTCACCTTCTGCGGAAGAATGGTTGCATTGGCGTTAATGCATAAAATACAAATTGGAGTTGTATTTGACCGCGTATTCTTCTTGCAATTGGCTGGAGAGGATATTTCACTGGAGGATATTCGGGATGCAGATCCCTCCTTGTACAGTAGCTGGAAGATGATACTCAAGATGGATCCTGAGACGGTGGATCAAGATATACTAAGCTTGACCTTCGCTTATGACGTTGAAGAAATGGGGTCCAGAACAACCATCGAGCTTCGGCCCAATGGGAAAGATGTTGCTGTGAACAGTAAGAACAGAAAGGAGTATGTCAATCTTGTCCTTCAACATCGTTTTGTCACCTCAATTGCTTCACAAATAGCTCACTTTTCTCAAGGCTTTTCCGATGTTACTACCTCAAGCATCGGAACTTCCTTTTTTCGGAGTTTATATCTTGAAGATCTTGACAAAATGCTTGATGGGAGTGGAACTGCTATTTCTGTCGAAGATTGGAAAGCACATACAGATTACGATGGATACGAAGAAAATGATCTTCAAATATCCTGGTTTTGGAAGGTAATCGTCACAGTTTTTACAACTTCACACTTCAACCCGCTCTTTAATTCCAACACATATTTATTTTCTTTTTTTTTTTTTTTGCGCACAGATAGTTGAGGGTATGTCTGCTGAGAAGAAAAACGCGCTTCTTTTCTTCTGGACTTCAATAAGGTATCTACCTCTAGAGGGTTTTCGCGGTTTAGATACCAGACTTAGCATCTCTAGAAGCTCGGAGTCTTGTGAACACTTGCCTTATGCACAAACATGCGTGTACCTGTTGCGCTTTCCTCCTTATATCAACAGGGTTATGATGCAAAATCGACTCGACATGATCACCCAAGAACATGTTGGTTGCAGCTTTGGTAGCCTTTGACTGAACTTGCCGCACATAGTTTAGTTTATACTGTTGTACTCAAGTGTAGAATATGCTTTACCAGTATGAAGGTTTGACTTTTTATATAAAAGCTATGAACTTCGTTCAAATTTAATTTCTTCAAGGCTCCGTTTCATTTCGTTTGTTTGTTTTCTGTGGCACAACTTCCTATGTAATATATATACATATATAAGAGGAGGGTTTGGTCTTACCTCAAAAATTAGGGTTAGGAGATTACTCATCATACATACCTTTATCATATTTATAAGTATCCAATTTAATCTTTTTGCGATATCTTAGCTAAATTTGATTTGAAACATACAAAAAATATACATTTCTTTTAAATCAAATTTAACGCTTACGACAATATTTCTGATAATATCCTTTCCTCTACATTATAAAAAAATATTTACCTTAAATTCAGTAATAACATCTTGTAAAACAAATCGTTAATTTCTTCTTTGTACTTTCTGATTAAGCTTTAGATTATTTACCAACTACTTTACTTAATAAGGTTGATCGGTTAACTCTTATATAATTCATTAATCTTATTTCCTTTCAAGTAAACAAAAGCTTCCAAATACCATCAATCTCTACTGGAGGAGCAGCAATTAAGGAAATATATAATAAACACACGAGTTTTTTATAAATAAAAATAAAAAAAATAAAAAGTTTGTTATTCAACTGTATAAAATAACTTAGATGTACTCGTGTCAACCAAGGTGAATGTGGATTTGTTCCAATTTTGAAAAATTGATTGGAATTACACGGACTTTTCTACAGAGTGTTTGATATCTCCAACTTGAATCGAATAAGTCATACGGTTTTAAAAAAAAAAAGAATTATAGAAGAGTAATTCGATCAACCTTATAACTCAAGTAGTTGATAAATGATCTTAAGATAATTAAATCAGAAAGTATAAGTTGAAAAAAGCATCTTACTAATGTTTTAGTGAATATTGTGAACGAATTTAAGGTAGATACGTTTTATAACATGACAAATCATGGGGAAAAAAATTAAATTTCTAGAGTTTCACTATTAATGATAGAAAATTTAATATCATAAGAGTTGAATATAACCTCAATTAGAATATGGTCAAAGTTTTCATAAACTTACGTAATTGAATAGTAAAAAAAAAAGTCTAAAATCACATTTGTTAGCAATGTGCAACATTAACGTTACATTGTTTGATTAAAATAGATCTTATTTCCTCTCAAGCAAACAAAAGGTTCTGAATACCATCAATGTCTAGTGGAGGAGCATCAATGAAGGCAATATATAATAAATACAAAATTTATCGTCAATAAGATATGGATCATCAAAACACCCATCCAATGTATTTTCAATCCTAGTTATCAGGTTATAGAAGCGACCCATAGGCTATTGCTTTCACCTCTCTCTCTAAAATTGCAGGTAAAATCTTGGTCTATTTGATCATTAGGACTCCCAAACACACGAGTTCTCAACAAATGGTATTCAACAACATAACATGACTTATATTACTCGTGTCAACCAAGGTGTATGTGGATATGTTCCAATTTTGAATGAAGTTAATTGGAAAAATACGGACTTTGTAAAAAAAGAAAGATGAATTTTGGATATACAAAAATAGCTCAGATACTTAGTAGAACTTTCTAGAATTATGTAGAGTAAACATCTTTGATATTTATACTTAGGAAAAATCTAGAATATGTTCTAGAGAAATAGATATTTATTGTGAATTATAGAAAAATCTAGATTTTCTTGTAGATCTATCTAGAATAGTTCTAGAAGCATCTCTACTCTACTATAAATAGGAGTTGTCATAGTCATTTGTAAACAACCCAAATCAACTAGTCTACTTCTATTACAAAGTTTTTTTTAATCCAAAATACTCTTTCTCCCTTCTAGCTTCCTCTTTTTTAGTTGAATCTTCCGATCTTGGGCTAACAGAAGGGTTCTCCAATTATACTTTTCTTCTGCTATTCTCTACAGACTTTTCTAGATAGAATTAGAATTTAGATAGGATAGTGGGCAGCCCGGGATTTTAAGCTACTTCTCAAAGACATTGTTGACATAAGTACCTGTAGCCTCCCGACCTTTTCATCTCCGATTAGGGCAAGTGGGCGTTGCATCAAACTGTTCCAAATTCCAATAGGATTTAAAAATATTTCGATAATTTTATTTTAAATCCTATCGAAAATCTGAACAGTTTGATACAACACCCAGTTACCGTTCCGAGAGATGAAAAGGTCGGGGTGTCGAGGTTGCAGGTTCTAATGTCAACCATGTCTTTGAGAAGCGGGTGTCAAAGTTAGTTATAACATACAAATTTCTCGGGTGAGGGTGTTCGATACAGATGCGGATCTAGAGGTCAGATCCTTCATGATTTAATTTTTAAGATTCGGAGATATGAATCCATATATGTATATGGGTGTAGGAATTCGCCTAAAAATAATTAAAATATCTAAAAATAGAATTGTAAAACCTATTATGAGATATTTTACAGAGAATTTGACGAGATCTGTGGAAAGAGATTAAAATTTAAAGGTAAAGGATTATCATAGAAATTTCTATACAAAAGGTAGAAATTGGTTCAAAAAATAAATCTAGACAAATATTGAAATTCTAATTAATTGTTGTGTTATGTTAGTTATTTATTTATACATTGATTTTTTTTATTTTGAAGGTTATAGTAATTTTATTATTTTTTCTTTTGTTTTCTATGTTTTGCCATCTACATTCCCAAGTGAATGCAATTTTTAATCATTTCTGCATAGTTGATATTTTTCATTTTCACTCGAGACTAGCTTATGAGCGGAGGATTATCCAAGTCCATATAAGGATACTACCACTTCATTCTCCATCAATGGTGATGACATGGGCATCCAAAATCGGTACTACAACCATAAGAAACAGAGTGTTTGATGTCTCCAACTCGAATATAACATTTTTTTTCGAAATTCAGTTGTAATCTTTTAGTTTATTTCATTCTTTCAGCATTGTGGCATTTGCATTTGTTTTGTATGTTTAATATGTTCTATAGGTCCTTTTGGATCTCCCAAGTAAAAAAATTGACACTTTTTCATTCAACGCCCTCACAGACTTTACCTTTCTCAAAGAATCTTGCATTATCGATTTCAATAATTCGATTTGAATAGTAAAACCTATATTCTTTAGATTTATTTGGATAATGAATTAATCAGTTACTATTAAAATTTTACATTTGAGATTGCCTTTCTTATAATATCCTTTCCTTGAATAAATATACCTTTCTTAAATTCATTCATAAACACATTATTTGTTGCTTTCTTCCTCTTATATTTGTTGATTTTAACTTTAAATATTTAATCACCAACTACTTCAACTCATAAGGTTGATCAAATTAACTATTTAGAATTTCGAAAAAAACAATGGATCTAAGATATAAATTAAATTTAACCTAGCTGATTTTCGATTCTTATCATTGAAACCGTTTAACTTTTAGAACTATAGATCCGACTATTGATACACTTTGAGACATTTATTTTTAAATATCTTTTTAAAGAATATATAACACTAATATATACTATTCAAGAAGAAAATATCATCGAATAAATCTTAATGAAATATTTTGTGGAATTGTCATAATTCACATTAATAAATTAAACTGTTATATTATGATATGTACGATGGATATAATAGAAGTGTTTATTGTACATCTAATGAATATATCATCAAATATTGGTGTTATGTGGTAATTATGTCAAAGTCAGAAAATGTTGGATTTTTTTATTAATTTATGATGTAGCATAATTAATTAATAAATGCATAATTATACTTAATGAGGAATAAATTTTATGTGTTAGATTGAATTGATCCTTCCTCTACTCAGTAAAATTACTAAATATGTTTTATATGTTTTAAATCACATATCGTACGTTGTGGTAAGTAAGACTAAGACAATGACGTAGAAATCAATTTTCATCACGCTATCATTTTGTGATAATGTATTTTGTTTCAGATAAACACTTCATAATATTTTTGTATAAAATTATCGTATTCAATTAAATCCTCCTGTGAATTAAGTTTTAAGTTTACATATTTAAATCAAAAGAAATACACGATCATATATTAGAGAATCAATTTTAAATGGTTCTTCCAATAATTTTTAATTAAATTCATTTTTTCAAACATCCTAATTTGAAATCTAGATATTAATCTTCAAAAATTAAGAAGCATTTTATATAAATACAATTTGTAGTATATAAACATCCTTTTGTTGGGAAAATGATGACTAATTAAGTATCCTCTTTTAAATAATCATGAGTTTGATGTATATTAATATCTTCATGTTGGAAAAAATGATTAATTTTTTAATTCCTTTAATCTTAAGCATACATGTGATTATCAGCTATTTATTATTTTTGGTAATCATGTGATTTGAACTAACATTAAAGTAATTAGCATTTTGTAAAGGTAATAAATAGTGTAACATCAAATCATAACTTTTTTTGGATACAATTTACAACTTTTGTTTTACACTTCCCTTTTTTTGGATATTTTATTCATGTTGATAATTCTATTTAAATACATATTTTATTTTTAAAAAATGTAATATTGTTTTAGAGAGAGTTTTGATGTTTATGCATTTACAACATAATCAATATTTTTTTAATATACTCAATTTCTTAGTATAATGTATACATATTACAACCAAAATATCTTACTTTAATTTTTGTGGAAAAAAAATCCTTAAAAGGAAATCGAGTTCATCGTTAATGAGTTTCGAATTTAACTTTTAAATATATAAAATAGTTAAATATTATGGTGGGAAACACTGTCCTTTAACTGAGTTTTGTGCGATGCAAATTCAAATTAAGTAAATCAGATTAGATCGTATGAAAATCGTATCTATTAGAAATAGAAATTTTTTTTATTGTGATTGATGAAAGTATTATTTTATAAAATATGATTCTTTTTTCATCGACTTTTCATCAAATCATCTCACTAAAAAAAATTCATAGTGTAAATAAATATTG